CCATGTGTCCTTCCTTCCAAATGATGTAAATGGACTATAATGGAGTATGAAATGTTGTATATTGGACCACGGTTGGATCAATTGATAAAATGTACACGGGTTACACGTGTGGGTTATAATCCCGGTTAAGGGGATGTTATAGACATGACGCCGAGTTATGCGACAATCATGAGTATTTTCGTGGGTTGACAGGTAGTCGACGGTTAATAAAGGACCCCTAGTTTTAGAAGCATCACAGCTTGGTATCAAAGCCTAGGTATATGATTTACCTAGGGCTTGATGGACATAGGTCTAGACTATTGCATTCATTGTGCATTTCATGTTATGTGTTTAAATTGCTACAGGTTATGTGCTATGTGTTATGTGAATTATATGCATGATGAAATGTATATGGAAAGGAGAAGCACTAGGGTTAGAAAACATAAAGTTTAGGTTTTCGAAAAAAGGGATGAATGGGATAGTTCAAAGTGTAAATGTCTACTAGTGATGGCATACGCTCTACTAGTGAGGCAAGGAGAGAAATCTCAAAGTTGAAACTTGATCCCTATCTTGGGATACTATGTGTGGCTCTATTGTTATCTTACATGTGTGTAGATGGAAAATTGAGGAAAAGGACGCTGAGGCAGTGGGTGGAACAACAATCAACCCCCACCGGCCTTTGACCAACAAGCCTTCATGGAGGCTATTGGTGTTGTGGCTACTACTATTGCACAGGCTAGTGCTACGGCTGCTACCATTGCACAGGCTAGTGCAAATATGGGCCAAGGGGGCTCAAGTAACCTCTAGAAGTTTAAGACGCACTAGCCTCTAACTTTCGTGGGAGGGGCGGATCCGATGGTGGCTGACCATTGGTTCTGACAAGTCGACAAGATCTTAAGGGCTATGGAGATCACCTTCGTTGCCACTAAGATAACACTAGCTACATTCTAGCTAGAGCGAGAATCCCAATTGTAGTGGGATTGGATGAAGGACTCCAAGAACTTGGGAGAAATGATATGGGGACAGTTCCGAGAGCTCTTCATGGGCAAATATTTTTCAACGTTTGTCCGGTAAGCTAAGGCTCAGGAATTCCTGAATTTGAGGCAAGCGATTATGATGGTGTTGGAATACGTGGCTAAGTTCACAGAATTAGCCACAAACATGACCAAGGTGAGGAAGTTTGAGGATGGCCTGAAATTGTCCATCTCGGGGCAAAATTGTGGGCCTCTGCCTGTAAGACCTAGACTCAATGGTTGAGGCATCTATGGCCATTGAGAAAGAAGTGAATAATGCACGGAACATCCGGGAAGCGGGTGTTAAAGACAAGAAGAAGGAAGACCAATCTTTTTCTTCAAGTTCAGGGAAGAGGCAAAGAACTTCAACTTCATAGGGCCGCTGCTATCAAGGCTAAGGCCAAGGTCAATCCTCCCAAGGTGGGAGAAATCAGAGGCCTTCCTACCAGGCAGGTCAAAGGACTTGCTATCATTGTAACCAACCGGGGCATATGAAGCGGGATTTTCCTCAGTGACAGGGATCTCAGAGCTATGAAGCATCCCAGTCCCAATCTTTGGTGGGACATGCACAGACGAAATTTGTTCTTCCCTACCCCACCATGGGCCAAGGAAGTTAGTACTAGTTCCAGGGTGCTGTATAGGCCCCTACTACTTCACGAGCGGGGACTCTACAATTAGGCTAGATGAGCTAGAGCATGGGTTGAGGTCGAGGACAAGGCTCACAAGTTGGGACTTCAGGGACCCAAGGGTGTGTCTAAGCCATTATGCCTCAAACTGAGCCAACGGATCAGTCGATTATTCAGGGTACATTTATACTCTTTCGCTTATGGGCAAGGGTATTATTTGACTTTGGTGCATCTCATTCTTTTATTTCTGCATCATGTCAAAGTTTAATGTTATCTTTGGAATGGACTAGTTGGCGGCACACCGAGTTGTTATTGATTGTGATCGGAAGAGGGTCACTGCCTACACACCGGAGGGTGTTTGTTTCAAGTTCTAGGGGGAAAAGCATAACGTTTTACCCCAAGTAGTGTATGACTCCCGTTGGCATGGTCAGTTGATGGATTGGCTAGTAAGCCTTACCCTGGAGGACGAGGCGAGACAGGAGTTGGATCTACTTGGGGTGGTTTATGAGCATGAGGATGTTTTTTTGGATGAATTACCAGGATTACCTCCATATAGGGAAGTAGACTTCACCATTGAGTTGCACCCTAGTACATTGCCTATTTCTATGACTCCACATACGATGGCTCCTACTGAGTTGCAAGAACTTAAGGTCCAATTACAAGAATTGTTGGACAAGGATTTTATTAGACCGAGCACTTCACCTTGGGGCGCTCCGGTGTTGTTTGCCAAGAAAAAGGACAAGACCCTTCGATTGTGTATAGACTATTAGTAGATGAACCGGGTTACTATCAAGAATAGATACCCTTTGCCAAGGATTGATGATCTGTTTGATCAGTTGAGGGGAGCGCGGGTCTACTCTAAAATAGATCATCGCACTAGATACCATCAGTTGAGGATTAGGGAGGCAAATATTCTTAAGACGGCTTTCAGAATGCGATATGGGCATTTTGAGTTCACCGTGATGCCATTTGGGTTTACAAATGCCTCGGTGGCATTCATGGATCTCATGCATAGGGTGTTCCAGCCCTACCTAGATTAGTTCGTTGTGGTTTTTGTTGAAGACATCTTGGTCTACTACAAGTCCAAAGGAGGAACATGAGGGTCATTTAAGGGTTGTTCTCCAAACTTTGAGAGACCACAAGTTATATGCCAAATTCAACAAATGTTAATTCTGGCTGACGGAGGTAAAGTTTTTGGGACACGCAGTGTCGGCTTTGGATGTATTTTTAGACCCGAAAAAGGTTGAGGCGGTCATGAATTGGGAGAGGCCAAAGTCAGTCTTCGAGATACATAGTTTCTTGTGATTGGCAGGGTATTACCGAAGATTCATCGAGGACTTCTCCCAATTAGCTGCACTTATGAGGAGATTGACCCGGAAGGAGGTCAAGTTTGAGTGGAATGTTTCATGTGAGAAAGCATTCCAAAAGTTAAAGAGGAGACTTACTTCAGCTCCTATTTTGATAGTCCAGGGGAGGGGACAAATGTACACTGTGTACTGTGATGCCTCTAGAGATGGATTTGGTTGTGTTTTGATGCAGTCCGGGAGGGCGGTGGCCTATGGTTCTCGGCAGTTAAAGAACCACAAGCAAAATTATCTTATGCACAACATGGAGTTGGCGGCCATTATCTTTGCCTTGAAGGCTTGGTGCCACTATTTGTATGGTGAGTAGTTTGAAGTGTTTTTGGACCATAAGAGTCTAAAGTACATCTTTACACAACAGGACCTCAATATGAGGCAACGCAGGTAGACGGAGTATTTGGAAAACTATAACTTCACTTTGCATTATCATCTCGATAAGGCAAATGTGGTGGTAGATGCACTTAGCTGGAAGTCACGAGGAGTTGTGACTAGTGTGGCTTCCCAAGAATGGCGGATGCTCGAGACTGTAGGATAGTTTGGGCTATATTATCTGGGTCAAGCTCAGGGTGTTTTAGAGAGCTTGGTGGCTACACCTTCCCTACTGAGCAGAGTGATCGAGTCCTAGGGACAAGATCCAGAGTTATCATCCATCAGGGACCGAGTGCAGGTGGGTACCGGTGACAAGGGCTGGGCCTTTCACTCAGATGACAGTCTTCAGTATAGGGCAAGGGTTATGGTTCCCCAGTTAGCAGATTTGAGGGAGGACATCCTTAGGGAATTCTATTGGTCCCGATTTGCTATGCATCTAGGTGGCACAAAAATGTACCATGATCTTCATCGCCACTATTATTAGAGCGTAATGAAGGGACAAGTTGGAGACTTTGTCAGATGATGTCTCATGTGTCCGCAGGTCAAGGCTGAGCACCAGAGACTAGCGGGGTTGCTCCAGCCTTTGTAGGTAGCTGAGTGGAAGTGGGAGAATGCCACGATGGATTTTGTGACTCACTTGCCACGGACATCGTAGGGACATGACGCGGTATGGGTGATAGTGGATCGACTTACGAAGTTGACACACTTTTTGGTTGTGTGGATGACCTTCACATTGGAGAAATTATGCAGGTTATACATACGGGAGCTTGTCCGGTTGCATGGGGTGCCTATATCTATACTATCGGATTGGGATCCCAAGTTTACGTCTCATTTTTGGAGGAGTTTTCAGCGAGCCATAGGAACACAGTTGATGATGAGCACTGCTTTTCATCCCCAAACAGACGGTCAGTTGAAGAGGACTATCCAGACTTTAGAGGATAGGATGACCCAATGCTCCGCTGGCCCGAAAAAATGAAGACTGTCCCAAACCACAGAAATCCTAGTAGGTACTATCGCTTCCATTATAACCATGACCACAACACTGATGACTGCTATGAGCTCAAGAGGCAAATCAAGGAGCTCATACAATGTGGCCAGTTGAGGCAGTGCATTAATGGCAGAGGACAAGCCCCGCCACCTAGTGGGGACCAAGATGACAGAGAATGCCAACAACCCCTCGGAGAAATCTAGATGATCTCCTAAGGGCTAGGAGGAGGAGCTGACTCGAACTCTGCCAGGAAAGCCTCAACCCACCTATAGGACACTGAACACCTGAAGCTTTTATCTATCCTTTATTGTTTCAGTTGATTTGTTTTGTTATTTATTATTTTATGAAATAAAACTCTGCGAAGATTATTGTGTCCATAGTATCTTGCTTTCATTTCATAAAGTTTGTAAACAACTTTATAAAAGTCAGAACATGACCTAACAACAAGGTAAACAAAAAGACAACAGTCGTCATACTTCCTGTGGGACAGATGTCAGTTACTGACTTTCACAAAGCAATAGAGAGGCACCACCCAACAAACCTCAAGGTGTCGCTTACCAAAGCCGTCTCCAAGTAGCTTTCAAGCATCGTCCACCATAGCTAAAGCCTAGTGCTGACATCCAAAAACAGCAGCAAACCACCTAGTTCCTACGTGCATGGCCAGCCTGGTGTCACGTAGCTGGTATTGCCCAGTCTGTCCCCCAACCCTGTGTTGCCTCAATTACCCCTTGCGTGGGCGTTAGCATCCTCATCTATGGCCTCGTCTCTGCCCATTGCCTAAGTGCTACCAACCTTCAGGTGGCACCTATAATAGCCTCCAACGTTGTGCATAGCAGCTCAGGCACCCCTAGTAGTGCCCAAGCGTCACCAGCAATGCCCAAGCGTTACCCAAACGTTGCACAGCCAGCTGCCCAGCATCCCTGCCTTGCCTCCATTGCCTCGCCTGCAAACCCTGTGCCTGGCCTTGCCTTCATGCCTAGTACTACCACACCTTTTGCCTTGGTGTCGCCCTTGCCCAAAGCCAAGCTTTACTTGGGTTCACCAAGGTTTCTTTGCTATCATCTCTATCCGTACAGGATGGTGGCCCTTAGCATAGATTTATCCCCGGACACTCCCGATGATCAGTTACTACTCCCCGGGCCACTATCATCAAGGTTTTCCCCATCACCAACTACCCCTAGTGTCTCATATGGGATAAAAAAATCAATAGCAGGGAAAGTTGTCAAGCCCTTAATAACCATTAGTAAAGGCGTTTGTAGTGGCCTTCTCAGTAGCCTCCCTCCTCATCTCCATCTCAATGGAATAAGCCTCTACCATGGCAGCCCTCTCTCGAGCTATACATAGTTCGACCTCAGCTTCGGCGGCCCTCTCACGGGGGTGCTTGCAGTTCGGACTCTGCTCTAATGCAAATAGTCAACTTATCAAAATCCATCTTTGCGTTTTCTCGCGAGTCGCCAAGAAGCTCGGCCTAAACCTACCTCTGCTCCCAAGCAGTCTATGTATCCAGCTTCGCACTCTCTCGCGAGTTGCCAAGAAGCTTAGCCTAATTCTACGTTTGCTCTTTAGCAGCCTCAATCTCCAGCTTTGCGCCTCTCTTAAGAGTCGCCAAAAGCTTAGCCTCAAGAGGTGTTACTTTCTCATGAGCCAACTTCAACTGCTCCTTAACTACCCCTAGTGCCTACCACTCTGTCACCAGATGCTTGAATGCTTTACCAATGTAATCGTCCTTAAAAAAAAAGGGCAGCGAAGAGTAGTAACCACCTACAAGCATTCAAAAAGCAAAACATGAAGGAAAGGAGGTGAGTACAAAATCAAAGTCTAGAAGAAAGGCATACCATAGAAGACCCTTCCATCGTGGTATTGGTAATGCCCCTTGGACCTTAAGATCCAACCTCTATGATATCCCAGAGAGTCACCATCCTCCAAAGCCGCTCCTTGACCAAATTCGAGTCAAAGTATTGACACCGAGCCACCACTAGAAGCAGGACAACTATGTGAAACTACAGTTGATTTGATCCGAAATGTGTACACCCAAGTGCAAGCGGTCAAGCTGTGATAATAAATTGCTTAAGTTTGGAGTCAAACCCACAAGGAACTATTGTTGGTGTTTCAAAGTAAGTAGTGATAGAGACCAAGGAACTGGAAACCTTGAGATTTGAAATTATGGGATTTTCTATATAGAATATTAGATTCTTTCCAAGGTCTAGACAAAAAATAATAAATTATCAAATGTAACAGTCACCTTTTTGCTTGAGGATCTGAACATGTAGATAATCATCCGGTTTATTATACTTGTGCTTGGTAACTCAATTAACTCCTGTGTCAACATAAAGTCAATCAAAAGATAAAGATGAATTGTGAGAATTAAGAGCATGATTTCGATGTCATTGTAGAGGTTTACAAGAATTGTTTGTGCCGAGACTCAACCCTTCTGCAAACAAGCAAATGTCTCTACACGGCATCCAACCATTGCGTTAATATTCCATTCTTTAAATGAAGCACAATAATGTTGAAAATTGAAATGTAGTCATGAAGATCTAGCTGGGGTACTTGACTTGAACCAATGGGTCTTTCTATGCAAGAGTCATCTATGTTATAGAAAGTACTCACGGTTATACAAAGTACCTTAGCTTTGTTGGATACAATCAATCCTTCAATAAGAAAGTGTAATATAAAGCATTAAGCATAAACGAGATGTACATATATAACTTCCAGATAATTTATACATGTTCATCACCTCTTACTAAAGAGTGAATAAGAAACTACTCACTCTTCATGGCTTTGGTAAAGCTAAAAAAGTGAGTGATGGTCATCCCTCCAAATAGAGGAGTTACAAAGTAAAACACACTAAACAAGGAGCCGATCTTCGACGAAGAATGAGTGAATCACGTTCCGCCCTTTACAGCTTTGGTAAAGCTCTAGAAAAGTGGAAGAGTTTTACTCCTCTAAGGGGAGAAGGAAGCTCAAACAATGGAATAAAATGAAACTAAAGATGATCTATCTTCCTCTATCCAAGTAAATGTAAATCTAACTCTAACTCTAACTAGTTCTAGCTCTATGTAAGTCTCTCCAAGTCCCCCCTTTGAACCTCCCACAGTGGGAGTATTTATAGGCAAGGAAGAGGAGGCAAGGGAATGTAAAAGAATAGTGCAAGGCCTTCAAAGTCCAAGTCAAATCCAACCACTCTGTAGTCTGTCTAGGGACCACGTTCGAACGTGGTTTGGCGTTCGAATGTTGTCTCCTATCTTTGGTTGATGGGTGTTTGAACGCCATATGGGGTTTGGACCTCCTACTCAAGTGGCCTATGTTTTTATGTGAGAGCTACTTCCATACGCCATGTATCATTGCCTTTGCACTCAGGAGCTTGGTCCTCAATAATTTAGGACAACGTTCGAATGTGGATTGGCGTTCGAACGTTGTACTCAGGCACCTCTGTGTTTTCCTTCATTGCTGTAACACGCCATGTATCAGCACTTTAGTAGTCTGGTCTTCAAAGATTTCAAGAGAACATTCGAACGTGGATTAGTGTTTGAACGTTCTTGCCTTGTTTCAAACTTCTCCAATTTTCTTCTAGAACATGTTGGTGTTTGCATGAAGGTTTGATATTCATTGTCTTTGGGCCCTTGTACAATTTATGTCCTGGAATGTCATCATTTAAACTCCACCAAAGTATAATTAGTTTTAAAAATGCAGAGTAATATGCTAATTTTAACTAGTAATCACAGCCCCCAACCTAAATATTGCTAGTCTCTAGTAATACAACAACAATTGAATGCGTTATTATTTACAATGCCATTTTCGTAGGTCATCCGGTTGCATTTAGCATATGCACCGAGTCGTTAAACTACTAGGTTTGCCCTAGCGAATGAGTGTTGTCTCATGAGAGTTTTTAGTGAAACTACCCACAAACTTTAGTCGAACAGATGTGTATATGAGATTGCTAGTTAAAGTGAGTTAGCATAATGGTTGTTGGGATGCCCAACCCTCAATCTCGACTTATATCCCACACATTTCTCTTTCATAGGTACTAATTCTATACAAAAATTAGCATCTGTCATATTGGTATTTGGAATTCCCCGTGTAGTAGGAATAATCATTCTAGCAACAATAATTGTTATATAATAGGCATTCCACTTTACCACCTTCCATGGATAGCTTTGATTTCACAAACCTCTCTTAGATTGCTCTCAACAAAAATTTGCTCCAATTCTAGTGACTTGTCTCTCAAATGGCATGTGATCAGAAGAAGGCTAATCGTAAAATCACATGCTCAATTAGTTCGATAGTGAAGTCCAAGGAATAGGCTAATCATGTTTGGCATAAGCTCATGGAAGAATATTGATGCAAATAAAGAAATATTCTTTAACTTACCCCAACTTTTGGTTGACGACCTACACATGCATCAGACTTGAGATCAATTAGGAATTTTTATAGGTTGTAATGTGGCTAGAGGTTAGTGGCTAACAAAACGACGTCAATGGTATTCGAAAGCTATCCTTTCTTTATCTAGTGTAGCACACCTCTTTCTAGCTTTTCTAAATTTTGCCTATATGGTATTTCTTTCTTTCATTTTTCTCATTTTTCACTTTCTTGGCCATTTTCTATTTTTCTGTCTCTTTTCTTTCTTAGTTGTTCCCACTGATGTTTCTTTCATTAATCAGAAGCCACCATCGTCTTTTCCCTTTCTCTTGTTTTTCTGTATCATACTGATTTATAAGAGGGTGCAAGAAAATTAGATAGCAAAGGCATGTCAAGTATATTTTCCTATGGCTCGGTTATCATATGGGTTACTTGAAAAAGAGATCATCCATTAAAGGCTCGATCATGGCTGACTAAAGATATAATTTTGTAAAAGAAATGGCTAAGGCTTAAAATTAAAATCAAAGATGGCATAAGATCATTTCTCAAGTATGTGCACATGTATTTGTCGTATAAACAAATTCCTTGTGGGATATATCATTAGATTGCTTTAGTTGCGTCAATCAAAGAAAGTTTAATGAGATTATTCAAGGATAGATAGTGAAAAGCCTTACTTGAGTAATTGTTGATATCCTCTCAAAAGCATTGTAAGGCTCGAAACTTATCACGGTATTCTTTGTTATCTTCATTGGTTATGTCGGGTTTTTTTTTATGGAATGTCGGTTATATATCGATTTCATTTTCGAGTCTAGTCATCTTGTACCTTAAGAATAGCAAATACCAATGTACATTTGATAATTTAGTATAGAGAAAATACTATTTTTCTGAGACATGTGGTTTTAAGTGTAGGTTGCTTAGTGAGGTGTCAAACTGATCATGTGGTTTAGTCACTTTAACAACAGTCTACATATTCACATTTGTTTCATCATTCATTGACAAATAACAATGTAATGCTAAGTATTCACATGCATTTAAAAAGATAAAACTGATAAAACTGAACCATTCATTTCACAAAAATTTTAAACATCAAAAATAATCCACAAAAGAGGCAACACATTCACAAAAATTATCAAGTACAAAAATCGCTCTATCACTCTCTCGCTCTGCTAGCTCTACCAGCTCCACCCTCAGATAGCTGAGAATCTCCTACTACTCTCGGAGAATCTCATCTTGCTTGGCCTCGATGCCAAGCATAATCTCTCGTAGTGACCGTCGGGTGGTGGCGTTGGTGCTAGGCCCTGCCTCTTCCTGTGTCTGCTCATGGGCTCTCTTAGCCTCTAGCTCTCTTTCTTCCTCCTCATCCAACACATCCTGTACATCATCGATGCCTCGAGCGGGTGGCTCCTCCTGTCTAGTTGCCGTGCCACTGCTGTGACCTTGGCTCCTCTGGAAAGAAGCCTTGTTCAGTGGCCCCATCTATTTCTGTATTGTCATCTCCAGCCTCACCCTAACTCCGTGGTTTGAGCACATCTCTGTCACGCCGAAAGGGAGTGAGTTTCTCTTCACATCACACCCCTTCATCATCTATGTCAAGATCAATGAGGGGAGGTCTATTCTTTGGCCCCTTTCGATTGCATATAACAATCGGGCCATCTCAGGGAGGATCTCATTCTTTCATCCGATGGGGGCGAAGTTTGAGACTGCAATTGAGTTCAACATTTTATTTATCAGTCAACTGTCCTTATTGAAAAAATCTCCACCCCGCCCAAGAAAAAGTAGCCAACCCCATCAATTCTGTACCTTAATCCTCAGGGGGTAGGTAGGCTTAGGTACCCTTGGTACCTCTTGCCTTATCTCTCGGATGTAATCCTTAACCACCTCAATGTGAGTCCCCCTTACATATGTTTTTATCATCCCATTGACAATTTTGGCGTTGGAGTAAAACTCCTGCACCAACTCCTTCACAGCATCTCTGTCGTTCCTCA